GAATCTTCATCAAGTTCAATAAAAAGGGTTTTTAAAAATCTGAATGTAACAAACACCAAATAAAATGGGAATTTCTTTATACAAATTAGAACAGAAAAAAGATAATTGCAAATGAAACAGTAGGAGATATATGTGTACATTTAAAAAAATATACATACACATATGTATATGTGTATACACATGGTATATACATACTTGCTTATATATAATAGCATTTGATAAATTCAACCTTGAGTTTTCAATGCTTTTTTGTACTTCTTTCTGGCCTTCCATCTTATTTTTAAACATGATACCTCAATAACTCTCTTTTTTTCTTTTTCTTTTGCTATTCCTTTAAACAAAGCCGTTGGAACAAATATGAATGGTCAAGTAAACCAAATCCCACATTGACTGAGTCTGAAAACATATGTCTTATTCTGCATCTTGAGTTCATCACCTCTCTGTCAGGAGGTAGGTAGCAAGCTTCACATTGGGCTTCTAGAATCTCAGTTGGGTATTTGTCAAAGTTCTCAAGGCTTCCAAATTTTTTCCCCTTGTAATCTTGTTGTTATTATATAAGTTATTCTGGTATTCATTTCACTCTGTATCAGTTCATTTGGGTCTTCCCAAGATTCCCTGGAAATATTTATTTCATTGTTTCTTCTGGCAAAATAGTATTCTGTTACATTCATATGCCATAATTTGTTCATCAGTTCCCTAATAAATGGGCATTCCCTAAGTTTCCCGTTCTTTGCTACTATAAGAAGAGTTGCTATAAATAATTTTGTACATATGGATCTTTTGCCTTTCTGGTCAGAGTCGAAGACTATGTATACTTTGGTGACTTTTGGGACATAGTTTCAAATAGATTTTCAGAACAGCTAGACCAATAATGCATTAATGCAATGGTTTTTCTGTAGCCTGTCCAGCAACTGTCATTTTCTTTTTTTTGTCATCTTTGCCAATCTGAGAGATGTGAGATAGAACCTCAGAGTTTGTAAACTTAGAATTTATCTAATTAGTAGTGATTTGGAAGCTCAGTTAACAGCTTCCTGTCCTGTATCACATCCCTTCAGTTCTACATTCTCCGTGCTTTCCTTAGTAACTGATTGAATCAACCAGTTCATGTTAATATGCTAATGAGGGCTCAGAAGTTCTTCCCTTTTGGGCCATATCTATATTTTAATTATGGCCTTCTGTTGACAAAACACCCTTCCTTTGTTGTCTAAAAAGACAAATGACTCCAATGTCAGATGTTTCAAGTTAGAGAGAGGAGAGTGGTGTTATGCAGGTTATGATAGTGGAGCTATTTATTGGTATACCTGACTTTTTAGTATTAACCTTAAATCAGATTACTTAAACAATTCTAAAGCATCACAGCTTCCTCTACCTAGGGCTGGCTTTGTGTGTAGCTATACTTTTATATCTATGTAAATCAAAAGAAGTGGAAATCAAAATCAGGGGTGGAAAGGAATTTAGAGGCTGCTTTATCCAATCCACATCTGAAGAAGATTACCTTCTACAGTATCTCTGATAGGTGATCATCTGATTGATCAACCTCTGCTGATAAAGATCACCTTCAGTAATGGCCATTGAGAATTACTTGAAGATCTCTGGTGAATAGGAACCCACTATTATTTGAGGAAACTAATTCTACTTGTGGGTGTCTCTAATTATTAAGATGTTTTTCTTTCCAATTGAACTGAACACCAGTCTCCACCCACTGCTCCTAGTTCTGCCCTCTGGGGCCAGGTAGAACATGTCTAATCCTTCTTTTAATTCACAGGCTTTCCTATATTTCCTTATCTAGGCTATAAGTTCACATTTGCTTTAAGCAATCCTGGAATGATATAGTCTTCTGTTCCCTCACTATGTTGGTTCTTTTTTGCATTAGTCCAAGCTTGTTGGCATTCCTTCTAAATTATAATGCCTTAACCAAAGACAGTGTTTGAAATGGGATCTAATCAGGGCAGTGTTCTCAGGAAGGAATACTTGCTTAATTCTGGTCATGACAAATATATTAATGTGGCCCAAAATGGCAGTGGCTTTTTGGACTATTACATTACGTTGTTGCTTCATTGAGTTTGCAGTCCACTAAGCCTCCCAGATATTTTTTCACATGACCTATTTTGTCTGGTCATGGCTGCTGCACTCTATATTTGTTTTGATGATTTTATCTTTATTCATTTTCATCTAATTAGAACCAGCTCATCAACCAAACTTGCTAAGACCATTCTTGATCCTGACTCTATTGTCCATGTTGACTGTCTCTCTCAGCTTTGTGTCACTTGCATATTTGGTAAACTTCTGAGTCTTCATCCAAATCATTAATAAAATGTTAATCAGTCCAGGGCCAAGAGGAGATACTTGAAGATCTCTGACAGTGACTTTCCTCTGGTTTGGCAATAATCATTAATCCCTATTCTTTGGGTTCAGACATTCAACCAGTGCCAAATTTACCTAACCACCTAGAGAGCAGAGTTGCAAGAACAATGGTGTAAAATAATCAATATTAATTTGGTTGCTGAGCTTTAAAATTATGAGCTTTAAAGCTCATAATGGCACTCTGAAGAGTGAGACTCCCCCAGTGGGAACTCCCACAGTTCTCCTTCATTCCTCAAAACTCAACATTATCACTATTCTCCCCTCTTTCCCTCTAATCTCAGAAGAAAAGGTGTCCCTACTATTTCTTTAGGCTAATTGTTCAGCCTGTGTCCTTGATTCTACCACCTCCTCCAGGACATTCCTGTAGCAATCATCTCTCTCTCATGCATCTTCAATCTTTCCTTTTCTACTGGCTATTTCTCCTCTTCTTACAAACATGCCTAGGTCTCCTTAATCTTTTCTGTTTTTTTAAAACCTTTCCTTAACCCCACGCAGTTGCCACCTCTCTCCTGAGTGCCCAATTCTTTAAGACTGAAGTACCTTTTATATGCTCAATAGTCTGTTAAGAGTCAGGAGGGAAAATGAAAATCATCCAGCCTTTGAATTTTTAAAACCAGTTTCACATCTATGGTCAAAAGGTAGCATAGGATAGTGGCCAGGATTTGAATCCTGACTCTAGGCATGTTGTAACCTTTCTGGGCCCCAGGGAAGAGTTAGGTTTAATGACCTATTAATTCCGTTCCAACTCTAAATCTATGATCCCTATGATACTATGACCTCTTTATCCTCAGAAGACAGCTTGATAGCAAGTAGACAGGTATAATTATCCCCATTTTAGAGATTCGGAAAATGAGATGGAGGAAATTGTTTCTTGCCTAAGAATACATAGTTAACAGCAGAGCCAAGAGTGGTAGACCCAGTTGTTCTACCTTCCTACTCCTTCTGCCATGTGGTCTCAAGATCTATGCCCTTGAGAAGCTTAACATCTAGTGGAGAAGATAGCATTCACAGATAAAATTATTATTTTTTTTTAATTGTGTGGGACAGACTAAAGTTCTGCAAGGATTGAGAGTGAGGGGAGAGATCAGTGTGAGCAAAGCCCTTGTGTGGTCTCCAGTCCTTGTGGGACTGGAGATGGGAGTGGAAGAATGAGAAGAATTTCAATAGGTAGAAAAGTCCAGGTAATGGCATCTTCTAGTCAGAGTAATGGCATCAGCAAACGCACTGGAGTGAGATGGAACATTGTCTAAATAGTGCAAGAGGGGAGTAGGAAGGCAACAAACCTTACTGGAATGGAGTATTCTTGCTGGGGAGCAATACAGGATAAAGTAGGGGTGAGGGGGGCTTCCATTTCAAGTTGACCTTAAACACCAGGGTGAGGAGTTTGGACTTAAGTTGATAGACAATAGGGAGGCATCATAGGTTCTTGAGGAGGGGAAGGGCTTTATGTAGGTGATGGATAAGGAAGGTTAATTTGGGAGCAGTAGGTATAGTGACTGGAGAAGGGAGAGAGTAGCATCAGGAAAACACTTAAAAGGCTGTTGCAGCAACTCAGATGAGGTGGTGAGACCCATAGGAATAGAAGGGGGAAGGGAATAAGCATTTATGTAGTGCCTACTATGTGCCAGGCACTGGGCTAAGCACTTTACAAATATTATTTCACTTAATGTAATAATAATAGCTAACATTTCTATAGCACCTACTATGTGCTAGGCACTGTACTAAGTGCATTACAATTATTATCTCACTTGATTCTCACAACAACCATGAGAAGTAGGTGCTGTTATTGTCCCCATTTTACAAATGAGGAAACTGAGGCACACAGCTAATAAGGATTGCTAAGAGGCATGGCAAGGTAGGTGCATTTCCAAATAATCTACACAGCCTTGACTATCCTCATTGAAACAACAAATGTCCTTCTTCCTTCTCAATAGTTCACGTTTCTGTGTTGCCTGATAACTGCTTTTCTAGATGATTATGGTGGAAGGCACAATGGACCCAGGAAACATGGATTCTACTCCTGGCTCTTCCTCTAATTAGCTTTGCTAGTTTAAGCAAAGATACTTCACCTCCTGGGCCTCAATGTACTCATCTGTAAAATGAAGGAATAGGACAGGATAATCACTAATGTCCCTTCCAGATCTCTAAGTTAAATAATTTATGGCTTTTCTGACATCAGTAAAATTAGAGATTTGTACTAATTTAATTTAAGATCCTCTTCACCTCTAACATTCTATGAATACAGGTTCCTCTCGCCATCTCAATGTTTCTGGAAGAAGGAAAGAGCTAGTTGGTACTTCTTATGTATATCTAAGAACCTCACAAAAAACATACAGAGGAAGTTTGCTGGGAACTTTGCCCACTACTATTGGCATTACAATAAGCTTTGCCACTTGACTAGAGGAAAACAAACAAACAAACAAACAAAAAACAGAGAAGGACAAGAATATTGAGGGAACTATTAATCACCCTGTATCCATTTGCAAATTAAGCAGGGGATATAGATGACTGTGCCCTCTGCATCTATCTGCCTGTGTAGTTCATAGACTCCTGTGACCCCAGGATCTATATCACAGAAGTCTAACTTCTGCACCTTTCCACTGAGACCCATTGAGTATTCGATGGTTTGTTCCTACCTTCTGCCAGGTTTCAGTCCACTTTCCAGGCGCAGACTCAATGCTCCTACCTTTGTGGGGGTTTCTCCACGAACAATGAACTGACTTCTCTGGAGAGCCTTATAACAGGTGGTTCAGTGGGAGGAGACTAGAAAGGTGAAGTGGGTGGAGATTAATATTCACAAAGGCATGAACTTGCCTTACTTCTAGCCCCATGAGAGGGAAGAGATCAGGAAAGAAAAAGAGGGCAGAAAAGAGAGAAAAATCTTTTAAAGGATCTGTGATATTTCTTTTCATGCAAAATCATTAGTGTATTAAAAAAGGCAACATAGGATAGTGGTCTGGATTTGACATGGAATATTCCAAGTAAAGTCAAGACCTCAGAAGTCACCTAGTCCAATCCCACCTGAAACATGGCAGGGAACTGGACACAACCCATTTCGGTTTCAGCTGATTCTGTTAGGAAGTGTTTTTTTCCTCCAGTATTTTTTTTTTTGGTGGGGGGGGGTGAGGCAATTGAGGTTAAGTGACTTGCACAGGGTCACACAGGTAGTGTCAAGTATCTGAGGCTGGATTTGAACTCAGGTCCTCCTGACTCCAGGGTCGGTGCTCTATCTGCTACTCCACCTAGCTGCCCCAAGAAGTGTTTTTTCATAGTGAGCAAAAATCTACGTCCATATAATTTCCTACTAGTTGTTCCCGGTTCCTCCCTTTAGGACTCAGTAGATCAAATTTAATCTGTATTCCACATGACAGTCCTTCAGGTACCTGAAGACAGAGATTTTATTCCCTCTAAATCTTTTCTAATTCAGATTAAATATCTCTAGTCCTTTTAATGTTGGTTTGGTTTTACTTCTTTCTTTTGCTGCCATATTACATTGTTGACTCTTAGTTTAACTCCTTAGTAGCCATATCTCCACCACTCTGTTCTTGTGAAGTTGATAGCTGGACTTCATTTATCCTAGAAAATGTCACATAATTAGATTTTACCCATCATGTTAGCGTGACGAGATCTTTTTGGAGCCTGACTCTTTAAAGTGATACGTTAGCTATGTTTCTCAGCTGGGGGTCACCTATAGATATAATAAGCCTGCGTTCTAGATGCTTTCATTAATCTTTGCTTCTTCCACATTATTGGTAGGCCAGTAAACGCTAGACTCCTCCCTTCAAATTGGTGTCAATCCATCCCTGATTCCTTGTGGTGACTAGTTCTCAACTCATGTAATGAACCATCACCTATCTATCTAGCCCACATTCCTCCATCTCCTCCAAGACTGTCAAACATACTAGTCTGGTGACTCCGTCAAAAAAGTAAATGAGTTTAGCTTGCCATGTCTACCCATGCATCTCTATATTCATATTCCCTGTTTCTAAGTGTGTCTGCACTTCTCTTCCTTTTTTTTTTTTTTGGTGAGTCAATCAGGGTTAAGCGACTTGCCCACTATCACACAGCTAGTAAGTGTCAGAGGTTGGATTTGTACTCAGGTCCTCCTGACTCTAAGGCCAGAGCTCTATCCACTGTGCCACCTAGCTGCCCCATGCACTTCTCTTTCATTATATTCATGTATCTCAACATGTTTAGCTATTCCCTGATTGGTGGGCATTTACTTTGTTTTCAGGATTTCTTTCTTTCTTTTTTTTTTTGCTATTACAAAAAATTTGTTGTATAAATATTTTGATGTATATAGGAACTTCTTTTCTTTCTTTCTTTTTTTTTTTACAATTGATCTTCTTGGAGTACATGCTTGGGAGTGAGGTCTTTGGGTTAAAAGGTTGCTTTTGTTAAAATACTTCTTGTTAAAAGGTCAGTCACTTTTGTTAATGTAGTTCTAAATTGGGTTCCGGAATGATTTAGCCCAGGGGTTTGGATTCAGTTGAACGGCCTTGCTTAAGGACCTACAGGGCCATATGTGGCCTCAAGGTTGCAGGTTCCCCACCCCCGACAGTCCATTCACATCTCCATAAAGGAATACCATTCGCTTTTGTGTTAGAAAATGGTATTATTGGTTTTAAAAATTGTTACTTTATGTTGATAGGGGAATTGGGCTTTGAACAAGTTCCCAGCCAAGAAAGGCCAGAATCTAATCACAGAAAGTAAAAGGGAGATATTAGACTAACCATAAAGACTTGGCCATACCCTATAATGCCTTTATGAAATAAGTTCCTTTATTGAAGAAGAAAGGGATCCTGGCCATTGGTTAGGTGAAAGATTGGCCATGCCATTAGGTGGCTCTTCAAAGACAGTCAAACAATCTGATAGTTCATTCAATTTGGATGAGTCCAGTATGGGAGTGATTTTATAGAGTGTCACTTTTATGCCTATGCCAGAGGGCACTGGAGGAAAGAGGAAGGGATTTGTCTTTCCTCACTCTCTATTAGCCATGGGGTCTAACACTGGAACTTCTTATCTGGTGGTAGAGATCCCATCCAGCAGTTTAAGAATTCATTGTTTAAGGATAGTCCAAGCATGACCCAGCATTTGAGCACAGACACAGTCTCCAGAAAGATGTGGACACAAGGAGGCAGTTCCTCAAGGGAGATAGCAATTTTAAGAAACATAACCTCTGGCAACAGAAAAGAGGTCACCATTTATTAAAGGGAGAATTAGTTCTGGCATGGAGAGTGGAGTTAAAAAAAAGGAGAGGCTCTTGGGAGCTATTTGGAATGACTCATCCAGCAGCAGACACACAGTTTCTCAAAGGAGCCTCGTAAGTAACTACATAAGGACATAAAAGACATTGGGGACCTGTAGTACTAGAAGCATGATTTGCTTTGACCATGTGTGTTCCCAAATGTGTGTCTCATTCCCACTGTACTACAAATGTGTATATGTTGCCACAGATGCTATGTATGTTTGTGGGGGCAAATGACCCAGGTTTGGGGGCAGGGGATGTCTCACCACTACTGTTTTTACTTTGATATTTTAATAAATAAATGCCTTTGTTTGAGCTAATTATATCTACTTTCTGACTGTTAAAGGGAAATTCAACATGCTATGAAGTAACAATCATCAAAATGATTTATTACTGTTTAAAAAAAAAAGGAGATTGGGAACAAATGAATCTAGTCACGTGGTGTTTGATAAAGTCAAAGACCCTAGACTCTAGGGTAAAGACTCACTAATTGACAAAAACTCATGGGATAACAAAACAAAACAAACTGGCAGAAATTAGATTTACACCAACTCACAGCATGTACCAAGAAAACCTCCAAATGTATATATGACTTACACTAAAAGGTCACATCATAAATGAATTAGGGGAATAAAGAAGAAATTTCCTTTCAGATCTATGGATAACATTTCAGATCTATGGATAACAAAAAAACAGCTAGAGAAGCTCACAGAAGATGAAATAGATAATTTTATTACATGCAATTGAAAAGTTTTTGCATATATGAAACAAATGCAGCCAATGTTAGAAGGGAAAAAGTTAACAGAGAGAAAAATCTTAGAAGCAAGTTTCTCTGATATAGATCTCACTTCCAAGATATAATTATTTCAAATTCATGAGGACAGCCATCTTACAAATGATGAACAGTCAAAGGATATGAACAGGTAGTCTTCGAAGGAAGAAATCCAAACTATCAACAGTCATATGTAAAAATGCTCCAGCTCAGGAATAGAGAAATTTAAAGCAAATTAAATTAAAGCAACTCTGAATTTCCACTTCACAGACATGATTGGAAAAGATGATAAACAAGGAAAATGACAAATATTGAAGGGACTGTGGGAAAACAGGCACACACACTAATACTTTGTTGGTAGAGTTGTGAATTCGTCCAGCCATTCTAGAAAACAATTTGGATCTATGCCCCCAAATACTGTTTGATTCAGTGATATTACTATTAGGCCTATTTTCAAAGAGGAAAAAACCCACAAATGTACAAAAATTTTTATAGCAACTCTTTTTGTGGTGGCAATGACTGGAAACTAAGGGGTTCCCATCACCAGGGGAATAGCTGAATAAATCATGATATATTTCTAAAACAGAACACACTGTAAGAATTACACTGTGCTGTAGAAATAGTGAAAGGAATGATTTCAGAGAAACCTGGGAAGACTTATATGAACTGATGCAGAGTGAAGTGAGCAGAAATAGGAGAACAATTTACACAATAACAACAACAGTGTAAAGACAAATATCTTTGAGAGACTTAGAACTATGATTAATTAGATGCCCAACCATAATTCCAGAGGACTGATGTTATTCACCTTCTGACGAAGAGATGATTTATTCAGGCCATAGGATGAGACAAACATATTTGGACATGAACAATAAAGGGATGTGTTTTGCTTGATTATGAATTTGTTACAAGGATTTTGTTTTTCTTTTTTCTTTTTCCAGTGGAAAGAATGAGAAAAAAAATTCTTAATAATTTTGGGGAAAAAACTAACCAGTGGACTATGGATTTAAAAGTGTAGACCCACAGAAGTAAACTTTGATTCTATAAGAGTAGTAGTCACCCTCTGAAGAGGTAGCTCAGAGGGAATATGACATATAAAATTTCCTTGAGCTTAAGATACCTACTACAGAAATTTTTGGACAAAATCTTCAACAAAAAAGAATTAATTGGCCTAATTTTCAGCCATTAAAGATTTTGTGCTCATTGCCATATTTGAGATTGTTAATGGGCAAACAAGGAAAGTTAAGTGGTTCAGTTTTATCTCCAAAGAAAATAAGGACCACAATTTGGCTCAATTAAAAAAATTCTTCAGACCAAACACTTGACACTTACTAGCTGTGTGACCTTGGGCAAGTCACTTAACCCCAATTGTTTTAAAAAAAAAATTCTTAGGACCCCAAGTGATATCTACAAAATACTTCTTGTATCTTCATCCTTGCAATGTATGGCTAATTTCTTAATATTTTGTATTTGAAACTTTATGATCTATGTTTTAAGAAGAACTAATATGACAACAGAGAAAAGGATAGACTAAAGTGGGAGGGGCTTGACTCAGGAGACCAACCAGCTGGCTTAAATGAGATAATATTTGTAAAGCACAGTACCTGGGACATAGTAGGTCCTTAGTAAATGTTTCTACCCAACTTTTCCTTCCCTTTTCTTCAAGGGAATTGAGGAGATTAGCATAGCAAGTGGTTAATTGTGGC